ACAAACTGCGACAAACTGAATGGAAAAGCATTAGCCCGTGTGGGCAATAATATTACTAACGTGCATGGGTTAGTATTTGAGGTAAGGCTAACCGCGATATTCGTCAAACTATGCGAAGTCGCACTGTAAGAAGAAGTAACCAATAAGAACTGACGGTAGTGATTTAAGGTTTAGACGTGAGCCTCAGTGACAGCCTTAAGCTTAGTCAAAATTGTGGACACCAACAATAGAGACAGATATGGGAACAGGGAAACAAACGCCATCAATACGGTTACCAGGTGGGATGATAAAAAATGAAATTTACCGTAGAACAGTGATGACATTTCGTCGGTGTGTATAGTGTATAAAGTTTCCTATATGTGAAGTCGAGCTTGCAGCTAATGGAAGTCGCATAGCGTGAGAATGAGACGAGATGTTAAATGTAGTCTCTTCGTGTCGCTGAGGTATTTTCGGATTCCCGAAGAAAGTCTATTGCTCCAATGTAACCCTTGGCACGTGGTAATAGCACCACTCGCTGATGGGCTCTTTGGCGCGGCCACAGCAAGAATACAGTAAATAAGTACCCACAGGAAAGTACCCGTTTTACGAAAAAATAGTCAGCCTATTTAACAAATTTCCTAAAAATAGCGTGTCTGCCACCAAAGTACTCATACTCAACCATTGGCAGGTGTAGCTGTGTACTCTGCTGTGGCGATAAGCTATCTAAAAAAGGTCTGTCATCGTGCGTCTTGGATGTAGCCAACTGTGTGCTTATTCCTTTCCCTTGAAAGATGCGGGGGCACTAACATACCATCACCGCTGTTGTGACCTTCTTGCAAGTTTACCCGAGGATTGGTCATTTCCACTACAACTTCTAGCATGCGCATCCGCATTTACACCCATATCCTTGATAATAGCCGCCTTTTCACAGCTCTGCTAAATTCAGCATGGCGGACCAACAACGGGTAATAGAGCTGTGCTCACTCTCATGACTAACATGTGAACCAGAGTAAGTGTTACTTGATTAACAAGGTTGTTCAATGTGCACGGATTTTCCAAAACGCTTTCTCTTGGGAGGAGTGGTCCAACGTGGCCAGATACTTCAGATTGCAAATATTACACCCAAGCGAAGAAGCGTTTTTACCTACTGTAAGCCTGAGAATGTTGGAGGCTTTGATCAACACTTATACACCGGGCTCTAAACAACCCAGACGGAACTGGATAACATAACTATTTGCGATTGCTGTACGGATCCGTAACCACAACGTACATTGCACGAAAAACCCTGCGAAAGGACTTCACCTGAAGCGCATGTACACAAGCCAGTCATTGATGTACTGAACATTTATCCTGTGACACACTAGTTTCTAACTCGTCTTCGTGCTAATATTACGCAGTAGTCGAGATCGGGTAATGTAAGATATAAAAGTATTACAAGGAGGAGAAGCAACGTAAAAAAATGATAGAGTTAGCCTCGTGTAGTCGGGTGAGCTATGACATGGAGGTTAAAAAGTGACGTAAATCGCGACATGTCACCACATTAGAAGCAACTTGTGAAGGCCTGACAAGTCACATGTTCTATGGATGTGTTTATCATTTCACCGTGATCCAGCCACTTTCCAGATCAATAGAAAACTACGTTGATCACCCTCGCCCTAAGCGCGGCCAAAAATAGCAAATTGACAATTACAAACCAATATATCAGACCCTTGAAATCACCAGGTTCCTCGGAGAATTGGTAAAAGGAATGTGTCAAATTTCATCAACTCATTGAAGCTGATAAATAAATCTCAGCATGGGTTATTTGACAAATGATCGTGCACAAGCTGCCGACTTCATTATTTAAACTATATATCAAACTCTATCGACTTAGAAAATGCAGTCATAATTCTATTCTTGGATATGCAAAAGGCATTTGACTGGGCACCTCACAAACGGTTACCGATAAAGATAGCTTCCCATGAAGTCAAGGGCCCACTACATGGATTGACGGCATCCGTGGCCGGATTTGCCTGTCAGTGTGGCCTCCACGAGGACAGCCACATGACACCTGTGCCAACCGAAGGACCATGGGTAGCTTGCGCTGCACCACCCAAAGGTCTAATCCATACACCCCATATCCAGTGTAAACCCGAAGGAATTAGACCGAGAGGCATGGGGATGATAGCCACGTTTCATCAACGGACCCGGTCCACACTTCGACAAGCAGAACAGAAGCGTTCCTGATAATGTTTCAATGTTGCTCCTTACAACACTGGCACACCACGACCGCGGTTTCGTACTCGCTTGGACTCAGCAGGTGGAGACAGCCTGCAGTTAGAGTGGAACTCAGAGCCTAGCAGTTCACGGCTGACGCCCTGAACCCTATATGTAACTGAGATCCGCGAGCAACGCTTGGCACAGCGGTCGTGGTGTGCCAGTGTTGGGAGGAGCAACACTGAAACATTTCCGTTTCAGATACGGTCCCTGCGATCGGAATGACCGAGGTCTCAATAAAGGTTACGTGTTGCAACCCAACCACACAGCGGGCTCCCTAAATTCCACCTTGAATTCCTTACCGCAGTGCCAAGCACTGCTCACGGATCTCAGTTGCGTAGTGTTTACAGCGTCAGCCGTGAACTACTAAGCTCTGAGTTCCACTCCAACTCAGGCTATCTCTACCTGAGGAGTCCAAACCAGGACGAAACCGTGGTCGCGGGTGTCAGTGATGGGAGCAACAACACCGAAGCACCTTTAATTCGGACTCGGTCCTTATGATCGAAATAACCGAGGTCTACTTCGAAGTAGACCGAGGTCTGAATAGAGATTGCGTGTCGCAATCCAACCGCACAGCGGGTTCTCTAAATTCAAGTTTGAGAAGCATTCCTGCATAAGTGGGAAAGCATGCGCACCAGATGGTGGCTGGGACGTAGCCCGTTCTACACAGGATGGAATCACTCTGTGAACCTAGCACAGTGCACTCCGTCCTTTCTAACAACGACCAACTGTCTCCTGGAGCAAATAT